TAGTGATTTTCCGGTCTCAGCCTCCCAAAGTACTGGGATTACAGGCCCAAGTCAGCCAACATGCCTGGCCTAATGTATTTCTTTTAAAATTAAACACTTAAAATGTGCTATTGTTATTCCTATATGAGAAGTTTTAAAAAGATTTGTATTAGCATAGTGACAGGCTAATAGATGTCCTTTATTTAAAATTTAAACATTTTACTCACTAAAGTTAACTGCTGAAGATACAAACTTAAAATCTGTGTGCAAGTTATTTCAAAGTATGTTTTCATAACAAAAATGACTCAGAATACCTTCTCTCAGTATGAATTATTGACATGTTGCTACAAGATGCTACACATTTTTCTACCAATCTGTCACAGAAATACAAATCACAATCAGTTCCTTGTTTCATTAAAACCACAGCAATTGGCCAGCCAGGCACAGTGGTTCACATCTGTAATCCTAGCACTTTGGGAGGCAAACATGGGTAGACTGCTTGAGCTCAGGAGTTCTGAGCAAGAGTAAGACCCCATCATTACTAAAAATAAAAAAACTAGCTGGGGTGGGGGTGGGGTTGGTGGGCACCTGTAGTCCTACCTACCTAAGAGGCTGAGTCAAGAAGACTTCCTGAGCCCAAAAGTTTGAGGTTGCTGTGAGCTACAATGATGCCAGGGCATTCTACCCAGAGTTGACAGAGTAAGAATCTGCATCAAAACAAACAAACAATGTAGGAGACACCAACATCTGAGTAAGATGATCTGCAGCTGAGGTGTGGACCTCGGGCCATTCCTCCACAGGAGTTCCTTGTGGGAGGAGCCCGTGCCCTTACGTAGTCATCCAGTGATCTACATAATCATTGAAGTCCTATCATCCAGGACTACATCTACGTAGTCATTGTTAATTACTCCCCTCACCTGTGTTCTGGCTCAATAAAAGGCTGGTGCGGAGGTTGCTCAGGGCTACCCGGAAAGGGCTAGCCCACCTTCCACAAGCTTGTACTTCTAATCCACCTCTCGCCTGGTTCCTTCCTGTGCTAACCGAGACCAGGAGCCTGACGGGTCGCGACAAAACAGACAAGAATTTATTGAACAAAAATAGTTTGATTACTGCAAGGTATTTTGTCAACAACTATTTGTTACACAACAATACAGATAAGAATAAGCAGATAATTCAGCCTCAAAGAAAAAAACAATGAATAAGGAAGCAAAACAAAAAATCTGCTAAATAGTCATACATACAAACATCAAATTTTCCTTAAGTGTTTTAAAAGGGAAAAAACAGCGGAGCCACTCAGTGGTTAGAGCACTGACCTTGCAAATCAGGGGCCACAGGTCTGAGCCTCATCTGGGCCTGATTATAAAATAAAAAGGGCAAAAAGACAAAAAAAGTGTTTATAAAAACTATCACGATAGTCTGTAAACTGGCAAACATGGGCCATGGTTACCCAAAATCATACACAGTAACCCCTGTCTTCTCCTAGAGCAGCGGTTCTCAACCTGTGGGTTGTGACCCCTTTGGGGGTTGAACAACCCTTTCATAGGGGTCACCTAAACACATCCTGCATATCAGATATTGACATTACAATTCATGAAAGTAGCCAAATTACAGTTATGAAGTAGCAACGAAAATAATTTTATGGTTGGGGATGAACACAACATGAGGAACTGTATTAAAGGTCATGGCATTAGGAAGGTTGAGAACCACTGTCCTAGAGGGATGCGTAGGTATAAACTTAAGAGATCCAACATTAGCCCTTAATGCAGTGCTTTTCAGCCTTTTCTATCTCATGGCACACTTAAATTATGTTGATCAAAACAAAGAACAAAGAATAGAACATACTGTGCTTTGCACTTCTTTTGAAAATAATTTAAAAATTTTTGCAGCACACCTAAGATCCTCTCATGCCACAACAGTGTGCTATATACAGCACATGGGTTGAAAATCACTGCCTTAATGAAATGTAGAGACAGCCACCCTCAGTTACCTTTCAAATAATCACCCAGGCCATACAGAAACATAAGTAATGGAATCTCTTGCTTTGGGCTCCATGTACATGTTAACCTTGAGATCTCAGTTATCCATGACTGAGATTAAAAAAAAAGAGGGGAGACAAGTGCTTCCAGTACAGGAAACTAAAGGGAATTAATAGCACCCAAGGTGCTTATATTATGTTTCAGCTCAAAGGAAAAGCTTAAGAAATCCCTTTGGCTTTGAGAGTCTCTTCAAACTGAATATATGGATGAAGCCAGTGGGCTGACCTTCCATTTGCTTTGTAAAGAGGATGAACTCATGAAATTGGAAGGTCATCTGTGGTTTTTCTGGTTATCCTCCCAGACTGTTAAATGTAAAACACTTGATTTGGGCCATATTACCATAGTAGCACTTCACCAGCCTTTCAACTATCACTTAAAAGTTTTCCTTAGTAGCACTCAGCATCTGCTGGCAATAATTATACTAAGAGTTCCTCTTCAAACAAATATTTCTATTAACTAATCAGGGAATATAATTAAAAGAATCCACTTTTGAGAACATAGATGTAAAATGGAAGATAAACTTCTAGATAAAATTTCCAACTTTTTTCTATCCATGTATCCCACTCTGATGAAACTTGATGAACAAGTCCACTGTTACAGAAAAGACACGTAATTGTTTATACTTTCACTTACCCATTCATATGTTTTGAGGACCAAACAAAATTCTAGCAGAACTTCAGGGAGTACCCAACTGAAAGCACTCATATGTCCTCAAACAGTACCTCACGCAATACTCAAAGATCTATGAAACATCCTTTTCAAACAGGTTTATAGTTAGACTTAGGTGGAAAGAGATCTAGAGGTGTCAACTGGTTATGTGACATAAATATGACAACCTGTGAGTAAAGGACTGCCACTGTCACAGGGACATGAGACTTGAAAGGAGTGTCACTGCTTTCTGGAAAGTAGGCCTATCAGAAAGCTGTAGATCAAAATACTTTTTATTTGGGAAAATGGGGAGAGAAAGACAAAATCATGCCCCAGTTACTGTTACTACATTACATGGTCAGAGAAAGAGAACTTACAGGAAGAATCAGTGGAAAACATGGGGTCAAGGAAGGCTGAATCTGGGTAATGGTTATTAAACCACTGCTTGGTGCCCTGCTCCAGTAGTACACATCACTATTAGAAAATTACTGTAAGGTTCTTCATGAGGCTTCCTAGGACTTTAAACTCAAAGCATTAAAGCACCATTATGCATGTGAGTCAAGGCTTAAGGTTCACATTATTTAGATAACATCATTTTGGTCAGTTATAACTTACCTACTATGACATACTTTTTTTTTGCAGTTTTTGGCCAGGCCTGGCACCCTACCAGCACATGGCATATGGGGCTGGCGCCCTACTCCTTTGAGCCACAGGTGCTGCCAATACTATGACATACTTTTACATTACATTTCTCACTGAGTCCTTGTTGTAATATGTGATTTTTATGACTTACAACATTTTACATAACAAAATTTAATCTAAAAGGAGGGTACGTTATATACAATAAGGTCAAATCACTTATCAATTTTAAGTACCAAGTACTTGTCAATGTTTCTGAAATACTGATTTACAGACAGAAGTTATGGGTAACAATTTTTATTACATATTTTGAACATGAACAAAACACAAAAAGATTCACCCTCAAATTTAAACATATTTCGTACATTGGTTCTAACAAAACACTGGTGTTCATGATAAAAATCAGAAAATCTGGAAGATAAAGACCATAACAACATTTAAAAATACTACATGGCAAATACACTCTTAGAATTTTCTATTAAATTTAATTATCAGAATTTCCATATCTAACTTTATTCCTATACACCCACATTCCACTCTATCTCCCCTCTTGGATCTTAATGCTGCCCTTATTCAGTCTACCTTCATCACTGGTTTTTGTCAAACACCAAAGGCCCATCAAAGATAGACATGGTTGACCCACTCCCATCTATTTTAAGCAATGGCATCTCAACAGAAGAGAAGGTGGGCCTCCGTTGGGCCCCATCTCTGGCTGTCTCACGGTGACAGTAATGCCTTCATAACCTTTCTCTAAGGCTAGTCTTCACGCATCCTACCACAGCTCACTTGATTCATTCAGTATTTAGCTCTTCCTGACTCTAGATTAAGCAATTGTAGAAACCCACAAGATTCTGAGGGCTTTATTTCATGAACTGTTTGATAACCTATGTGCATAATAAGGAAAAACTCTATAATATTAATAGAACTGGCTATTACTGCTTCATAGGAACAAAACTGTCCTCTGCTTCTGGGGCTGAATGGAGCTTAAATGGGCAGAATAGAGCTTGAATTTTATACGAAATAATTCAAGAATATGGATCTTTATTTCTTTAAAGATGGTGCCACAGAAATGCCCACTCAGTCTCCTGATTAAAATCCCAAATGTGGTAAAATGTTCATTTATTGAAAACCTGACCTTTTCAACTGAACATGTCTCTGAGTTCAGGTTGTTCTTGCCTTTGTGGAATAGAAATGGGGTATTTTTTAGCCAAAATGTATAAAGAAACTGGAGGGGAAAAACCAGCAATATGATTGATTTTCCATATTCTTTTTTAAAAAAAATTTCCCCTGAGTTTACACGTGAATATCAATTCTTCACAAAAGTGCCTGAATTAAGAGAACGAAATATGATAAGATAGGAAAATCTGTTCATTTATAAACATAAGGGACATTCAACCTCAAATAAAATAATAAGAGAGTCAACACCACAGTAATACACTTCCAGTGAAGTTATATGCATTCCACTCTAAGCTGCTAGCACCAGGCAGACTCCAATCATAGATAGAAATATGCCATGTATAGTAGCTAGATGCAGCATCACAGTTCTTTAGCATATTATAGTCAGGTAAATAAATATATTACAACATACTGGTGATGAAAATGCAATAAACATGAGGGAGGTTTAATATATATATACACATACACACATATATGTATATTAGATATATATATATGTATACATATATATTATTTTTTTTAACTGGGAAGCCCAGTTGTAAACATTCAAATTAAACTACTGCACCCCCAATCCAAAAATCCCCCACACAAAAATCATCTTTTGGCTATAAAGTCATGAGTAATAATTTGTACGGTATGGCTCTTTTGTCTCGGTAGTTTTCAGAGAAAGAAATGAGCTGTGTTAAGTGTTTTCACTGATTTCTCCATCTTGAATAGCTGTCAGTTCTGGAACATCATTCATCCTCAGAACATCTGCATAGAGCAAATAATTTTGTAGACTCCTTGGAAGTGGTAACTGATGAATAAAACTATCAGACTGTAGGTGTTCTGGTTTTAGACTGGACCGAATTTCCAAACGACACAGATGGGTTAAGTATGGGATAGAGGCTGGAGAAACAAACAAAACAAAAAAAAGTGAAACTTTTTAAACAGAAAGATGTAACAGTACATTATAGTAAATGCCTTTTTATTCTTTTCCCCATCTCTGCATAGTAAAAGTAACATGTTGCTTAGAATTACTTTGAAAGACAACCTCTTTGAGCCAAGATGACTATAATAAACCTTATTATTTATTCATTCATTCATTCATTCATTCTTTTCTACAGTCTTCACCTAGTTCTCACCCTCCAGTTGTTGGTCATATATTTGAATTCTATATCCTAGGGCCACAAACCCTGAACATTCAAATTCTAAATATCTAACAATCTTAGATGGCACTTAAAAAATGAATGAACTAACTTTGACAGCTCACAGTAGCAAGTGCTACATTCTTCTTAGTTTGTTCCATTACGAATGGTTTCCACACCTAACACACCAAGTGAATAAATATGTAGCTTGCAAGTTTTCCTATTTTAACCATAACAGAATGAAATTTTAAAATTGGCACCAGAGAATGGGGTCATTTATAATGCCTTCTATGCCATATGCCCATGTACTTCACATACATCTCTCTTAATCTGCTCCAACACTGGAGGCATATTATCATGCTATTACACATAAAAGAAAACAGAAGTTTACAAAGAGGTTTAAGAAACTTTCAAAAAGTCACAGAGCTAGTAAACGGTAGTGGCAGATTCAAATCTGGATCCAAAGACACTGTGTGTGTGTGTGTGTGTGTGTGTGTGTGTATTTACCAAAGTCACATAGTCGAAAGCTAATTACCAATTAAAGAGTAATCCAGGCTCGGCGCCTATAGCTCAACTGGCTAAGGCGCCAGCCACGTACACCTAAGGTGGCGGGTTCG